ACCTGCTCGTGCCTCTCTGCCGCGACCTGCCGGGCCCAGCCGGGCCGACCGCGCCCTCGGCGGTCGCGCGGGCCGCGTTCTCGCCGTCTGGCCCGGGAGAAGTCTCCTGCCTCGGGCGCAACCGACCTCGTCCCGCCAGAAAGGAGCGCGCGGTGTTTCGCGGAGCTATACTCACCTTGGACCCCGGCAGCGGCGTGGTCGAGGCCTCCGTCGTCGGCCGGTTCCGCCGGAACGGCCTCGGCTGCGACACCGTCGCGCTGACGGCTCGAGTGCTCGGCGCCGACAGCGTCGACGACTGACTGGCCGGCGCGGTTGTCAACAGGATCTCCGTCGCGGAGTCCTCCACCAGCCTCACGGCCTCCGTCGTTGAACTCGTGACCTCTGCGCTGCTGGCTGGCTTCTCCGCGTCGGAGATCTGGATGCTGTTCGGCGTGGTGAAGGTTGTTGTTGTTGACGAGCTGATGGTGCTTGGGGACGCTGTGGTCGCAGGGGTCGTGGTTTCTTTCTCCTCGACTTCTGCGGCCTTTGAGGTCGGCTCTGTTGTTGGCTCCGGGCTTGTCGATGTTGTTTGTGATACTGGCTCCGTGGAACGGGCCGTTGTGCTTCGGAATCTTTGGATGCTAACGTACCTGTGGAACGTTGGCTCGTGTTAGTTTGGAATTTGGGAGTGGAAGTTTGGCGAGTAGTGAGTATGCACCTGGATTTAGTAGTTGGCGCGCTGTCCTCCGAGTCTTCCTTGGTGTCCTCCAAGGAGCTCTCCGTGCTTCTGGAATTTGATGTTTGTTAGGTGTTTGTGTTGTTTCACACTTTGCACTCGAGAGACTCAGTTGCTGTTTAGTTTGATACAGTGAAGTTACTAAGTTCAATGTTGAAGTTCGTTTGACGTAGTTATTCGTGAAGCGTAGGTAGAATAGCTGTGTCCCTTGAAGTCTATATTGTTTACTAATATTGACCCTTTGCAGTCGAGAGGTGACTCTCAGTCCTGATTTGACACAGTAAAACTATAGAATGTGATATTTAATGTACTCACCTTGAATAGGTCGAAGGGCGCCTGGAACGAACCGGTGCCTCGTCTTCTTCGTCCTCGTCCTTGATCTCCACGTCGTTCTCGTTTCTGGAAAGCACGCGCTGCTTTTTAGTCGTGAACTGTATTGCGTACTGTGACTCTGTCGGTTGCAGTTTTATTAATTCACCTGGATGTAGTGGTGGACGGTCTGCTGCGTCGAATGTTGAAGTAGTTAGGCGTCGCTCTTTGAGTAGAACTGGTCAGGAATGGATTGCTGACGGTTTGCTCCTCGGACGACGCTACGTCAGCGATATCTTCTTCGAGGTCGTCGTCGTCTTCTTCCGCCTCGTCCTCTTCGATTACTGGCTCTTTTCTAGAAGGTCTGTCGAAGTGAACGTTATCATTAGCGTCCCGACGAATGTCGACATTTCGGCGAGATGAAAGTTTTGTGTTTGACGATTTAATTGTTTGAACAGCAAGAGATCAGCACGTGGTTTCCCTTTTTTCTATTATTTGAACTAATGATGTATAATTTCAATTCATCTGGTGAAGGTTTTGTATGTTTCTAAGAACCTTCGTCCGCAAAGAGTTAATGGATGAATGGATACGAGTAATAGAATAATTAAGTAATAGACGTACGTAATTGAGTATAGACGTAGAATAATTAATAGACTAAGTAATAGACTACGTAATTGAGTATAGGCGTAGAATAATTAAGTAATAGACTAAGTAATAGACGTAGAATAATTAAGTAATAGACTAAGTAATAGCCGTAGAATAATTAAGTTTATAGACTAAGTAATATACGTAGAATAATTAAGTAATAGACTAAGTAATAGCCGTAGAATAATTAAGTAACAGATTAAGTAATATACGTAGAATAATTAAGTAATAGACTAAGTATAATTAAGACATACATAATTAAGTATAGACGTAGAATAATTAACAGACTAAGCAATATACGTACTTAGGCCTCTCTATGGTCACATACTGAGGTTTCTGCGCCCTCCTCAAGCTCTTAACTTCCGGAAGCTCGTCCAGACCTTCAAATTGCGCTCCACCCGGTCCATTCGCGTAGCTCGAGGTCCCAGAAGTACGCGTTCTACTCGTAGTTTTACCCGACTGACGATTCAGCACCCTTTCATACAAAGTACGACTTATAGTAGCAGGAGTAGCGTGTTCCTTACTAGTGCTTGATTCGTCTGTACTCTTCTCCTGATGGAACAACTGCTTTTCTAGCTCCTCGATTCCACCTGTGGAATATAGAGAAAATCAATATAATCTAGAATATTCCATTTTGAACATTCATTCAGAACGCGCTCACACAGTCGCGTCATTCATCTATTGCACACACGTTCATCACTCATCGATATATCCATTCACACACTCAAATACATCCATTCCCACGATATTATATATAACACTGAAATTTTCTTATATGAAATTAAATTTGAGGGTCACCTCTGGAGTGCAAAGGGTTAAATCATGGACAATCTAATACTGATTGACGAATGAAAGGACACCAGAATTTCCCTGTTTCACTCACCTGCTTTCTTAATCAGCTGGATCAGCTCTTTGATCACTCTCGGGTCTTCCTCGTCGTCGGTGCCGAGGAGCTTCACCGTTTCTTCGTGGCTCTCGGACCTCTTCGTCGTCGACGGCTGCTCAGTTGTGGTGGTGGTGGTTGTAGTCGTAGTGGGCCTGTTCCTGGTGATCGTTTTATAGAGCAGTGGCTTGGGAGTGGTTCTCGGTCGCTGTTCCTTCTTCTCTTCTACCTCTTCCTCTTCCTCGAGCTCATCTTCGTCCTCGTATTCTTCGTCGTACTCTTCTTCGTCTTCCTCTGGTTTCTCGGTGGTGGGTCTGCGCGTGCTGCTGTAGAGGTAAGTCGTGCGACTAGTCGCTGCCGTTATCGGCGCTCTGGTAGTCGACGCTGTCTGCGACGTCTTTGCCTTCGGGCAGACCACGTTGCGAGGATAGTCGCAGGAATCTGCTGCCTTGTTGAACACTAGTCCTGTTGGGACATTAACAATCGTCGTTGATTTTTCTTTTTGTTAATAGTAGAGCTAGATGGGTCGGATGACTCATTCTTAAATAATTTTTGAAAACTTTTTCTGAGAAATTTCGGAAGAGATTGTCTCAGCAATACGCGAACTAAGTTTTGAGTGGTGGAAGTCTCGGTAGGCGCACTCTTGCCGTTTCTATAGAACAATTTCGAGAAGTTAACTTCACTGATCAGTAGTTTTAGTGTTATCAACGATTGCTGAAGTGGTAGCTATAACAAAAATTACCAGAAGGGCAAGTGAACTGATGCGCAACGACGCCGAGACCGCCGGGGCCGCTGTCCAGACACCAGAAGTACTTCTTGCAGTCCCTGGGGTGCGAGAAGAATCCCTCGTCCTCGCATTTGAAATCTGCTCGAACAAAAATAATTAGAACACTAGAACTAGAACAAAATTCGTAGCATTATTTTAAAATTAAAAGATATAAAAATATCTTAACACTAGAACTAGCAGAATTAAATTTCTTCAGTTACGGAAGAACTAAATTTCTTCTGTTGCAATTATTGAAAAAGTACAGCTGCTTCCGTGAGAAATCGTTAAAGAAGTTGAGTTAGTAATACTTATACTGAAATATAAGGAACGTTAGAAGTTTTATAAAGAAACTTAGAAGATTCAATTTAAGTGCTTGGTAGTTCTAGCGTTAAAACGCGAAATGATGCGAATTCTTTCAGATAAATGTGTAATTCTTCTTCGTTTTGCGCTTTACGCAAAGAATCTAAACCTACCGCTGCCAGGATCAGGCGTAGTAGGTGGCTCAGGCGTAGTCAGCTTGTTGCTGAGAGGCTCCTCCTGAGAATCGTTCCTGTTCTCTTTACGACGCGTCTGCTTCCTGCGATTCCTATTCGAACTCGAACGGTTCTTAGGCCTGCTTTTCCCCTTCTCCCTCGACCTATCGCTTTTCTCGATGATTTTCACCGTGTTTCCGCCATCGGAATCCTCATCCTCCTCAGAGGATGGACTATAAGAGCGTCGTTCCACTTCCCGATCGTCGTCGTCCTCTTCCCTGCTAGCCTTGGATCTGGTGAACGTCCTGAACTTTGGCCTCGGCGAAGACGCACGTTTCCTGGTAATTGGTGCCGCTGTCGTGGTACTTCTTCTGGCACCGTGTTTCCTGCCCACGACGTTGCTCTGCACTGTCGGTGTCCTCGTCTTCTTGCGACTGTCCGCCGTTTTTGTCTTCTGAACACTGTTCCTGGACACGAGAAACTAATTAGTCGAACGTTTTAACCCTTTCATTTCATTTCCAGATGAAATTGTTATATTCGGAGTACCAAGTCGCAAACGAGTGATTGAATTACTCGAACAGCAAGAGATCACCACTTAGTTTCCTTTTTTTCTATTACTTAAGCAATTGATATATAATTTAGCTTCATCTATCGAAGGTTTCGGATAGTTCGAAGAATCTTCTGACCCTTTGCACTCGGAAGTAATTCGTCAGAAATATTTCACATTTTCCAGGCATAACATATGCTTGGAATTTTTCTCCCTTTCCAATAAATTATTAATGACAAAGCAGCCATCAGAGTTGAGAAAGAAATCATAGGGCATGGGGTTAACAGACTTCGAGTCACCTCTCGAGTGCAAAGGGTTAAAAAGATAGACCTGTCTGAATTGCTTACCCAGAATCGGTTAGCAAAGTTTCCTTCGCTGCCTCGATTAACGGATAGGGCCTATCGTGGCACTTGCCACGGAAGTCGTCATTGTCGATCGTCCAGAACATAATACCACCGAGGCTCTTCTCGTTCGCGTATTTCGCCTTCAGCTTGACGATGTCCTCGTCGTCGTAGCCTACCCATTGGTCTTCTTTGTAAGCATACGGTCCCATCGCCTTGGGATTCGGTTGTATCACTTCCCAGTCGTCTGACTGAGAGAGGCTCTCGCAGATCTGGTGAATGATTCAACAATAACGAAGTGATTTTTTGAAACGCTTCATAGGTTAAGGAGAGAGCCAGAGAACTGTGGCCTCCAGTATTAAATAAGCTAATCATTTCACGTGTACTAGATTGAAGTTTCACTAGACTAGATTCAAGCTTCAAAAGATAGATCTAATTTTGCTGTCTCTTGGTCTCCAGTATTAAATAAGTGAATCATTCCACGTGTACTAGATTAAAATTTCACTAGACTAGATTCAAAAGCTAGATCTAATTTTGCTGTCTCGTAGTCTCCAGTATTATATAAACTAATCATTTCACGTCCACTAGATACAAACGTGAGAATTAACTAGACTAGACAGTATTAGATAAACTAATCATGTCACGTGCACTAGATTCAAACATGAGAACTAGCTGGACTAGACATTTTTAGATAAACTAATCATTTTACATGCACTAGATTCGAACTTGAGAACCAGCTAGACTAGACATTTTTAGATTAATTAATCATTTCACGTGCACTAGATTCGAACACGATACAAACCTCATAATAAGCAAGGTATCCCTTCTCGCGAGTAGCGTCACCCTCGATTCCAGGACCATCCGCTGGAGATCCCAGTTCCGTTGCATCCTGATTGAACAGCGTGTACGATCTACCATACGTAGGGATTCCCAGAATGATCTTATCCGGCGAGGCGCCTTTCTTCATCAAATAGTTGATCGTGTAATCCTAGAAGTGTCTCGAGATCAGTACCGAAGAAATCGGTAAATTTGGTAACTTCAATTCGACAGCTCGGTGGTTATTAACCCTTTGCAAATTTGATATTTAACACTAGAACCACTGAGCATTTAGTACGATTAATATGCAATTCCTATAGAAACTATTTATTTTTAAAATCATTTCGAATATTCGATGCTAAACGAAAATATCGAAACCAGTCATTTTGACTGTTACGATAGTTCTAGTGTTAATATTATATCAATTTGAGAAATAGCTTTGTTCCTCGATGTAAATATCGTGTTTATCTCATCAAATATTGAAATTTTTCAAAGTGCAAAGGGTGAAGTTCAGGTTGATCTTACGATTGTCAGCTCGCTGTCGTAGTTGTACTCGTTGTCCTCTTCCAATGGGTACAGGGGTGAATGATGGTTGACGGCCGGCTCGTAAGACGAATGATAGTCGTAGGATAGCAGGTTGATGAAGTCCAGGTACTCGTTCAACCTGGGCACATCGTAGCCTTTGTCTATGTACTCGATGCCAGCTGGCATTGCCAGTGATAGCAGCAGCCTCGGCCTTCCTGTCTTCGAAGACTCCTTCTCGAACTCTTCTCTGAGTTCCTTCGGTGAGAACAATTGTTACACAATTGTTACACAGATTAGACCAGTGTTTCCCAACAGTTTTTATGACGTGCCCCAGTTAAGCCTTTCTAAAATCCTTATGCTCGTGTAACGAATGTATAATATTTAATATTATATTGTAATGTTTTTATAGTGCTTATTGTAATATTTCTATAATACTATATTATAATATTTCTATAGTATTTATTATAATATTTCTATAATATTATTTTCCAATACTTTTATAATAATATATAATATTTTTATAGTATTATATTATAATACTTTTATAATACTATATTATAATATTTTTACAATATTATATTATAATATTCCTATAATATTATTTTCCAATACTCTTATAATACTACATTATATAATATTACAATATTTTCACAATATTCATTATAATATCTTTCCCATTTCGTTTACACGCGAAAATATCATAACATGAAGGGATACTTGAAATTTCAAATTACCCCCTTAAAAATCAAATCACCCCACGTTGGGAAACACTGTGCTAGAGCAAACGAGCAAGGACGATCGTACCTGCACGAGGCTAGCGTAATTGTCCTTGTCCCGAGGTTTCCCGCCATCCCTGAACGCCGGGTACTCCCAGTCGAGATCGAGGCCGTCGAAGTGGTTCTTCCGGAGGAACTTGACGGAGTTCTTGACGAATTCTCGCCGTCGGTCCGAGTCGGCCACCATTGGCGAGAATCGGCTGGAACCTTCGTTCCATCCACCGATCGCCAACAGTGTCTTCAGGTTCTTGTTGTAGGTCTTTAATCCGGTGAACTTGGCGTATCCGCCTTGAACATTTGTCATGGTTATTAACCCCTTGCCTTGATAACCCCATGAACCCCGTGAATATTACTCGATCCCTTCGAATTCAAATTTAATATTATTCTTCTATTATCAGTTGCTATATTTTGGAGTAAAGATTCATATGGAATGTGCTTTTAAATCAATAATCTGTCCGTTTCTTAATAAATTATTATTTACAAAGTAATTGTATCATAGTTGAGAAATCAATGATAAGGCAAGTTAACACGTCACGTGCCACGGAAATTTCTATTGGTGTTTTAAATAAAATATTAAGTTACATTGAAATTTCTGATAATTTTTATATATTTTCATATTGTTTCTTTATGTTGCCAGGCTGTCTAACTTAGAAGAAACGAATAATTATTTGTTTCTTGGTTAGGTAATTGAAAAGAATATTATCGATTCCATTAATGTCTAGAAAAATCAGAAAATCATTGATTAAAATAATTTTAATCAATGGATCGCACTTAATTCTCACAATATCCTGATTAAACTGTTCTACCTTTCTCAATGTCCTGGTACTTGTCGAATGGCTTCAGAGCATTGTCCTTGGTGAACCCACCGAACGCGTAGATCAGGTGGGTGCATAGATAGGGGTTGATATTCTGGGGTGAGAACTTGGCCGTACCTGGCCGGTAGATCGACCAGTTCGTGTAATAACAGACGATCTTTCGCTCGGCATCACCTAGACACAGATCGATCGAATCGCGTTATCGTAACTCCAATTAATACTGCTTGCAAAATTATTTTCCAAGCTTAGTCGTAGATTCTGAATTGACTTTTCGACGTTGCCAATAACGGTTATAAAATTTACTATAGGAAATGTAGAAATTAGCCGATATGTTGATAGCTCCTCGAGACGTCTATAGTGTTCCAAATAGATCGCGAATCTAGTTCACAAACTTTCGCGAGAATCTTCCACGGATTCCGCCGATCAGCTTTGTCTCGCGACGCGTCTAATTTTCTCCAGTCAAAACAAGCTAATACTGCATCGAATAAGACTGAAAATTTCTTTTCAATAAATTATCAGTAACAAAGCAGTCGGATGTATCACAGTTCAGATATAAATTGCATACCGGTAACGAGAAATTTCGTTTTTTTATAAAGACACTTAACCATACAACTTCGCTAATTACCACAGCATTGAAAGAAATATAAAATTTCATTCGAATCAATCATCTATTTAAAATATATTACATAACAATATATCTGAATTTTTCTATGTATAGCGATATAAGTTGACCACTGAAAATTGCCATCACAATTCAGTTCTCTGAAAATTAACCGGTACGCGCGTTAACCCTTTGCACTCGGAAGTTTCTCAGTAGAAATATTTATACATTCTCCGATGAGACAATTTTTTAATTTCTTTAAATATTTCACATTGCAGAATATAATTTTCATTCGAAATACCGAATATTCAGCTTCACAGTTTTGCTGTATCGAATCAACTGGTGACTGGGAATTTTGAGTGCAACGAGTTAAGAACCGACGACGCATTTAGGTTTCGAGCACGTAAAGAGAGCATTTTCCAATCGAGCTTTTCCATCGGCACGCGAAATGAATTTATGATTGATCCGTTCGGAATTATTCGCGCGGCGCGCGATCGATTAATGCACTTGTCCCGGTCGCGAGATAGTTTCTCTTTCGTACTCGCGCGTGAGTTATGCCGATCGCGATCGATCTCCGGGCGCGGCGCTTTCGATCGGCCGGCGTTGGCCCCGGTGCTTTCACCGATCACGCGAATCGAGGTCACCTCGGGGCACAATGCGAAAATCGAGCGTGGAATTAAGATCGCGCGCGACCCTGACCACCCACGCGGCGCGGGGAATCCGCCGATTGATCTCGAAGATCTGCGTCGGTCGTGAGCCTTGATCGAAGGCTGATCGACGTGAAATGTCTAATGCAGAGGCAGGAATAATTATAATCGACCAGCTATCGAAAACGTAAAGATTTAATTACTATCTAACTACTATCCGCGCAGAACATTTTCTTAACACGTTGAATGCCACGGAAATTTCGGTCATATTTTGCTTATGAACTATATTGATTTTTTAAATAAAATATTAAGTTATATTCAAGCTTTTTTTAATTTTATATATTTTGATATCGTGCCTTGATGTTTTCGGTGCTTTGTAACGTATACAGCTATTCTTGACCATGTGTCCCTTAAAAATATTTTGCTACAAAAATTAACGTGTACCACATGTGGTACGTCATGGCGTTCTCATATAAGGACATACGAAATAAATGCTTGGTGTATCTAAATTCGGTAAATGTTATTGTTTGTAAAGGTTGTCTTCGTATTATCACAACTATAGATTCTATTCGACAGTGGTGTTGACCTCTCGTGTCAAGTTCTGATGTCACAATCACCAGTAACTTCTAGTGTTTCCATTCCACCAGCCGTTTCCACTGCTGACGATACGAATCATAGAACCTCCAGTTGTTTCTCTAAAGAAATCTGTAAAAGTCAGTTTGTGATCGGTAGTTCTAGTGTTAGAAAATAACAAAGTATCAAACATCATTTTTGCTACACTCGAACAATTACTTCAGTTCCGTCCATCGATCTCCATCCACGATGCACGGTGCTTTTTCTTTCGAAACGATCCCGAGGCACGAAGGACGTCGCGATCGAGTTAGAAAGCCTTTCGATACTCCCGGAAAACCGGCGCGCTCCTCCAGCTACATAGTTTGCACGGGTAATTCGCACGTTTTGCATAGAGCGGGATTGTTCTCCTGCCGAGCGGAGCGACGACTCGACGGAAACCGCGCCGCGATTCTTTCACCGCATAGTTTCGCGCTCCATCGGCGGCGTCGGAGCCGAGCACGGCGCGTAACGCCGTAGATAATATCGGTAAGAGGCGCCTCGTTCGCCGGGAACCAGAAATTCTCGCGATACGCGGATCGGGACCGGCTGGTTTTGGCCGACAATGCCGGTTTCCCGGTTCCTTTGAGATCGTTGCTCGTTATTCTCCTCTCGCGAGCTAATTAGACCGTTTTCCTTTGAACATCGGATTAGGGAATCGTTGCGTGCAATGTATATTTTATAGAGAATGGAAAATGGCTCTAGAAACCTCGTGAACTTCTTGAAGCTTGTGTTACGGTTCGGATGGAAACGTTTAATTTTTTTGCTCTGTGTATGTAGGTCTAAATGAGAGTATAAGAACATCTGTGGAGACTTATGAATGAAGAATCTAGGAATAAGTAAAAATTTATGGAAATTTATGAAAATTTAGAAAAATGTAGGGACAACGGGAAGATTTGTAGAAAGCTATGTAGATTTAGGAAAATTTAGAAAATGTAGGAACATTCAGGAAATCGATAGAAACTGATAAAAATTGAGTAAAATCTAGAGAAATTTATAGAAATCTAGAAAAATTGAGAAAAATCTAGAGAAATATATAGAAACGTATAAAAATTTAGAAAAATCTAGAAAAATCTATAGAAGCCTATAAAATTGAGCAAACTCTATAAAAATCTATAGCAACCTATAAAAATCAAGAAAAATCGATAGAACCCTATAAAATTGAGCAAACCTTAGAAAAATCTATAGAAACCTATGAAAATCCAGAGAAGTCTATAAAAACTGAGAAAAGTCTAGAGAAGTCTAGAAAAATCTATAGAAACCTATCAAAATCGAGAAAAATCTACAGAAGCCTATAAAAATTGCGAAAATTCTAGAAAAACCTAGGAAAATCTATAAACATCTAGAAAAGCCGATCGCCGTCCGCTCCTCCATCTAAACCAACCGAGCTCGCGCATACTGGGGGAAAGAATCGACAGGGAACGAATTCTCGCGGGCGTTCCCTCGCGTAGATCACGATCTCACCTTTAGCTGGGCCGGCGGATTGCGTCAATTACGGTCGGCGGTGTTTTTTCCAGATCCCGGAAACGGTACCCTATCGATTGCAACCGCGCAGACATGGAAACCCGGCGGGAACAACCGATCGATCGCCTTTAAAGATCGTTTAGAGATCGTTTAACGTTTACAATGTTACTTTCGACGGTTCTCCCTCTCCTCTGACCCCTTCTCGCAGCTTCGGAACCTCTCGGCGCTCCACCTGTGCCGATCGAAACAGTCCAGCGCCGTTTTTGCCGCGCCGACCGTTTTCACCGCGCGCAGAATGCGTGTACAGATCGTTCAACTTTGGTAACCCTTTGCAGCCGAAAGTTATTTAGAAATGTCCAACATTCTCCGAATAAACGGACGACGTTTTTGGAAACTCGGTAATTCCTATAAATTACGGAACTGCGTTTCTTTGAATATTTATTTGTTTACCACTTTTGCTTCTGAATATGAAAGCTTGATGTGTTTAATGAGATAACGTTTGTTTTGAAAGGATTGAATTTATTTTGCTGTATCGAATCGAGGAAACCGAGAATTCTTTGCAAAGGGTTAATGGAGAACTGTTGTAATTCAATTTTGAAAGTATATTGAAATTGAAATTTAGAAAAAAAATTGAAAAAAGTATAAAATTTCATTCGAATTGATTATCCATTTAACCCTTTGAACTCTGTAGGATATTTTCAAATAATCGAGACCAAATATTTCTGAAGCTTAGAACACAAACAGTGAACTGTTTAATGTTAGAGAAAAGAATTGTAACTTCAGCACGGTATCTGCATATTTATCATTCATCCTTCTCGTTCATCGGAACGCGAGATCATTTAATAACCAATAGTTGAGCGGAGTATTCGAAGTCTTGTTATAAAAGCAAATATTCAAAGTCTCGCAGAGATCGCCAGGCGCGACGAGTATTTTGCGTTGATAAATTTCAGATTTCACATTCGCTGAACGTACCATGGGTTTCACTGGGCCGGGGCTGCGAGCAGTGAAACTGCATCCGTGCGTGCACGGTGCACGCGAGGCGGCACGCTAGAGAAATTACGGGGGACTGCTGGGAGAGACTCGGTCACGGCGTAAATGGGCCATTCTTTCGCGGCGCTAACCTTGCTCGGTGTCTTCTCTCTTTCTCTCTCTCTCTCTCTTTCTCTCTCTTTCTCTTTCTCTTTCTCTTTGCTTTCGTGGGTTTCCCACTTGAGTGTAATTAGGAGTATCCGTGACCTTTGGGCTCTATTGTCATGGGAGGCGATCGTTTTGGCGATAACTCGGCAGTTTTGCGCGAGCGTGAATGGAATTGTTTGAATTTAGTTAAACTGAGGAATTTTATGGAGGCATGAAGAGATCTTTTATTTTACGATGTTTGGAGCTTAGTTAAACCGAGGAGATTTCTATGAGCACGATGGACCATTTACTTTGCAATGTTTGGAGCTTAATTAAACTGAGTAATTTTGTGGGAGCATGAATGGATCTTTTATTTGCAATGTTGGAGCTTAATTAAACCGAGGAGATTTCTATGAGCATGACGAGATCTTTTATTTTACAATGTTTGGAACTTAATTGAACCGAGAAATTCCATATCCCCAACCCCAACCCCTTCAGTAACCATTACCACAGTGTCCCTCGCAGTCCCCAAACGAAAACTCCTCGACATTGCATTTATCAATTGCAATATGCATTGCAAAAACTCTACTCACCGTGTTGTATCGTCGCGAGCAGAATGCTCAAGCTGAGCAGCAGCGACACCGCTTGGCACCCCTGCAACGAAAACGCAGCATTACACAACGACGCACCCACATATTTGGAACATCAAGTTGCAAACGAATGACTTAATTACTTATAACAAGTGATCAGTGTATAGTTCCGGTTTTTACAATTGTTTAAGCATTCAATGTATAATTTAGCTTCACACGTTGCAATCTTTACTTTAAAGAGTCTACGTCCGCAAAGGGTTGAAACAGGTAGAGGTTGCAATGAAATAGAACATTAAGTCTCGACATAGGATTGCTAAGGGATAGAAACTAATTGCAGTTACTAATAGATTACAAAACCATCTTTAGTTCTAAAGGATAAAAATTAGTTGCAGTTGCCATATTAGAAAACCATCTGGAGTGCTAAGGGATAAAAACTAATTGCAGTTACAATAGATTACAAAACCATCTGCAGTGCTAAGGGTCAACATTACAAACACGAGACGGTCGGATTTTTCCGCGAAAGCCGGTGAAAGACTCCGCGAAAGGAAAGCGGGAGTGTTTGTCCAGCTCGAAAGTAAAAGTAAATCGCGTCGAAGGATCGCGCAAACAAACGGCCGCGCCGCGAGTCCACCCCGCTCGCTTTCGTAACCGAGTCACGAGCGGCCTCGTAATTATGATCGTAAGTAGCCACGAACGGCTATCCCGTTTCGAATTGTTCAAGGAGGCTTCCGCGGACGCCGGCCGCACGCGACTCAGCTCGGTTTTTTCCCGACCCTTTTCTTCTAACGATTCGAATCCGACCGGTCTGTCCTATTTGAATGCTCGCTGTTACCCTTGAGCTCCCTTTACTTTCTACGGTTTCTCCTGTTTTCTCGGAAGCGGCTGCTGCGCTCGATGCTATCGCATTGTCACGTGAATCATTGTTATCATCGACCTGACGAAACTGAAAATAATCTATTGTTACGATTTTTATAGGAATTGCGTGTTAATCGAACTCAATGCTCGGTAGTTCTAGTGTTAAGCAAATACACTTTGAAAAGTGTGTACGCGATGAATATAAATCACGTGAATCATTGTAGCCATCGACCTGAAGAAACTGAAAATAATCTATTGTTACGATTTTTATAGGAATTGCGTGTTAATCGTATTCAATGCTCGGTAGTTCTAGTGTTAAGCAATCATTGTTGTCATCGATCGCTCGCGTGATTTATATCTGTCGCGTACACATTTTTCAACGTGTATTTCCTTAACACGTTGAACGCCGCACGATTTCACAGAGGAAAATACACAGAATGGAGAAAATACGATATTAAATCATTCGATCGAATTGAAACATTTATTTACAATATAGAAATGTTTTCGTATAATTGTCGTTTCATTGAACTATAGCAATTCGATTGCTACATGTTAACACTAGAACTACCGACCTAACCGAATGATCCTGACGTCTGCTAAAGGAAAAAAGCCAATCATTACTCCGCTTACCCCTACAGATGTTGCTCTTGGAATATAATGATCGAAACCAGTCATTCTGACTGGTACGTAGTTCTAATATTAACGGAGATTCAGTCGACTCGGAATATGATGATTATACAATTATCGCGGTCTAGTTAGTATTATTGTTATTAGTTTGGTCTAGTTATCTGTTTATTACATTTCAGCGCTTTCGCTGGATATCGTTCGCTTCGTCGATAGCTTCTGTACTAGTAATATCCTGTTATACATCTGGCTCATTAATGAAATATTCGGAAGATGAAGGAATATTAACTTCTCGAAACTGGTCAGTGTTAATTGAAAACGTATGTAAGAATTTCTACGTTCCTCTCGTTCGCTACATGATCTAATCAAGGTCTTGGTAAATTTAAATTGGAATTTACGCGAGAGAATTCTTCTGCAACCTCTGATATTTCTATAAATTCTAGTAGTATCTTTCGTTTCTTTTATTTCCGATTCATTCGTCCTGATCTGTAACCAATGTATATCAGAAAAATCTTTTAAATGTTCATTTTATGCATCGAGAGGCTATTTTCGAATTGTTATCGATATCTCCGTTATTGCTCGAGTTGCGAGCGTATTATAGAATCAATGAATGTCTCGATCAAGGAACAAGTAACGGGAAAAAGATTGTATTTCCAACTTCCCAAGGTCCGGCGTTCGATTTCGTTCCGCGTGGATCGCGCGCGAGCCATTTCGGTGCACCGCTTTCTACGCTTCGTTCTCGATCCCGACTAATTAGCGTCCACCGGCTAGAATTCCACTTTCAAAGAGGCAGGCCGTTCGATCCGTTATGGATTTGCATAGGCGGCTCAGCGAGGAGAGAATACGATTAGCCGCGATCCTCTTTCGAAACCCAGCCGCTCGAGCTCGGAAACGGGCCGGTCGAGGACAATTGCGTGGATTTCCTTTGGCCGACCTCGTTCGACTTGCCTGCCGATCGGAAATACGTAACACCATCGGCACCTGATGTATCGCTCGCTCTTTCGACATAAGGGATTAATGATAATGGGCATCTAGCGATTCGTTCGTAGAGATTTTCTTTATGGGGTATGGGGAAGTTTTTAGTCGGTGATTGAGTCGATTTGGGATTTC